ACGACGTGTCCGGCGCCGCGAAACCTGCTGCAACTGTGCACTGTCAACTGGTGGCCCATGGACCACAAGTTTGTTGGAGATGGCTTTTCCAGCCAATGAGGGGTGATATTATAAAATGAAAAATGTCTTAACTATTATTAACATTTATTTATATTTTTACATTTTAAAACTAAAGAAAAGACCAGATTCATGTAAAGAAATAAAAATATATAGGTTTGAACAATTTTATAAAGATTTGAACACTGAACATTGCAGGCCGATGTGGGTTCTCTTAATTGTTCAAGGATTAAGTATCCTACTTAAAACATAAAGCTAAAGACAGTATAAAATTAGGCCAGTATGCTGGATATCCAGTTACATTTTTAAAGAAAAATAAATACTTTTGTTTACTTTGTTTGTTTGTTTTTGTGTTCTAGTCTTAGTATTATCAAAGTTACACACCATATTCCTTCTCAGCAGCTTGTCTTAAAGATATTCCAAAACATTCTGGTGGTTTTGAGAGAAAGATCACGCTGAGAAACTGGAAGTTGACTTAACAAAGTGGCTAAAAAACTTCTAGTATGATGTAGTCCACATGTTTTACTCTGTGTATTTGTACTATCCATCACATATTTGAAAATGACAGGAAATCTAAAAAAAACTAGCCATTTTCATTGTTGGCAATAATTGAAATAAAATTCAGTGTTATTTTAGTTTTGGTGAAAGCCTGAAGGAGCCGCTGCAGAGGTACCAAAGAGCCACGTGTGGCTCCAGAGCCGCAGATTGCAGACCCCTCTGCTACAGTATATGTTGCCTTGCAATCCACGAGCCGACTTCTTGGCTTCGGTTGGAGTATAAAATGGTCTTAAGTGTATTGTAGTTCTTTATTGCCTCTGTTCATTTCAGTCAAAAGTGCATGTCTGCTAAAAATAAACTGTGATATTCAAAGAACATTTTACAAGAAGTGTGTTATGATTGAGTGAAGCAGCAGCAGTGGCATTCCTGCAGTGGTGCCTCCAAAAACGGTTTTCCTTCTCGTAACTCAGGGAGACTGTTCTTTTTTTGTCTGCAGTATTTGCAATAACGTGGTGGAAACAAAATAAAGTCTTTTTTGGCAGGTGACAGAAACTCTGCATGTTGAGGCCATCTTTGTATTATTGCAGCTGCCTTACTCTCGAGCAAAACTCACTTCAAAGCCCAGCTTCCCTCACCAGACGCCGATCAGAACGTACAGTAGAGACATTTTTGAGGGCGTGATTGGCAGGAACAAGAAAAGGAAGCGCAAACTTTTAAACGGCTCCGAGTTGTGGAAAATGAAAGAGGGAGTTTTTTGTTTCCTTCTGAAGGCTGGAGTCTGATTTCCTGTGCGGCTGTGATTGGGAAAGCAGAGGCACGCACAGGGAGGCTGACTCTATGGAGATGCCAGATGACAGGCCTTACTACGACGATACACACACTGGAGCGCCCTTCGACTGGTCCTCAGAAACGCCTTTTACGAAACAACCTCTTGTGTAAACCTATTGTAGATGATGTGAATTCACTGGTGTGGTTCCTGTAAATACTACAGCATACTATGGAGCTTTAAGGTAAATAGAAAACAAGTACAAATATTAGTACTGTAACATAAAAACACACAAGCCCCCCGTCCTCTTTATGTGCTTTGAGCACAGTGCCAGCTGCGTGTGCGGCGATATCGCCAAACATTTGTTCCTGTTCATCCATGTGGATCACCAAGTGGACTGTGTGCGCTCAGCAGGAGTTTGCCCATAAGGCCATATGTGAGCTTGGCCTCTCCTCCTCGTTTTTTTGTCATTTGAGTGACCTCGAGATGCACTGCGGACCACGCTGACCCCAGAGAGACTCGAGCTTATTGACCAGCTCACAGCTCCATAGAGTCCATTACCTAAACCAATTTAAATCTCTTTTGTTGAAGCTTTTTCCACTGACCATTTCCTTAATTCACTTTTCTTTGATTTTGTGGTAAGGTCTTTAAAATAAGGAAATTGACTGAAAGCAGCACTGTCACATATTCACCGATGTCCCCCACCGCCCCCCGCCCCTCATCACCAGTAGATCTAAACTATTTTCCATCTGTGACTGTGGCAGTGGCTGTGGTGAGCGGGTTCTGACCAGATCAGCCTTCTGTTCTGTTTTCAATTTTGTTGTGCACACAAAACTTCATTTTTAAACGTGTGGGAGCTGCAATATTTTTTCAGTCTTGTTAAATGATGTCCAATAAAAATCCCAGGGAATGCTACGCATCTGATGGTAGAGTATGGTAAAATATTGCACAGTAAACTGAGTGTGACAGCTGCTCTTGGCAGAGAGAAACAGAGAAAACGTAGATGAGCTTTATAGGTGTCGCTAGCATCCAAGGTTCTCTCTCCGTTGTGAATTGTGCTTTTTTTATGCATGAATTCAATCACTTTTTGCCACAAAGAGTAACCAAGGACAGCTTCTATTGATAGAAACCAAGGCAGCATGGATCTGCAGCAGTGGACCGTGCCGTTACATGAATCTATTCAGCTCATTAAAACCCAATTAAACTGTGACAAACTTGTGCATCACAGGTCTAACGGAGCTGCAATGCTCATCTGTTTTTATTTATGCTATCGCTTGCTGCCAAAAGTGAGGCGGCAATAATATTTTTGCCCTTGTGTGTTCATTTGTCTGTACCCTTAGCTGAATACCTCATGAACTAGTGGATGGAATTGAATGGAGTATGCCAAAAATAACATCTACACCTAATTGTTTCAGATCACATTCAAGATGGCAGCCACAGCTAAGCTCCCTGAAAAAAATCACAAAAATGGCTACAACTCAGCCAGATTTACAGATATTGTGTACAATTTTGGTGCGTTAGTAGCCGAGACTTAACCCCAACATGTAATAAACACAAATAGATGTATAGTTATAGCAGTAATAACTATCAAAGACAACGCTTTCTGTTTGTTCGCTAAATATCTCGTGAACCAGAGGTTGGGTTTTCACGAAACTTCTAGAAAACGGTCATTAGATGTACATGTACAGCTCACTAAACTTTAGTCAACCAAATTCAAGATGGCTGCCACAGCTGATTAACCTTAGAAACACAAAAAATGGCTACAGCTCATTATGTTTGGTGTGCATGTAGCCGAGAGTCATCACCAACCTTTCCTCTGAGCACTACACGTTTATCTTTCTGGGACCACTTTATAGATAGTTGTTAATTCCTCTAAAAACACTTTATAAATGATTAATAAATGCTTATTATGCATTAATTAAGGGTGACAGAGACAAAACTGACCAGTAGCCAAATAGTGAGCCAAATCTGTTCACTTATATATTTCATCTAGAGTTGTTACTGTATTAAACATTTCTACCTTGTAAGCACAATAAGCATTAGTAAACCTATTTTTTTCATATAATATTTTACTTTATCACTCCATTTAAGTATCTACAACTTATATCCTAAAAAAATAGGTTTACAAATGCTTATTGTGCTTACAAGGTAGTAACTTAGTCTGAAATGTGTAATATAATGACTCTAGATGAAATAGGTGAACAGATTTGGTTCACTATTTGGCAACAAACTGGTCAGTTTTGTCTCTTTCTTGCCCTTAATGAATGCATAATAAGCAGTTATTAATGATTTATATAGTGTTTATAGAGGAGTTAATAACTGTAAACTATTTATTAGCCATCTATAAGGGGAGTCTTATTGTAAAGTGGTACCATTTTTATTTTGCTTAAAACCTTAATGATAACTTTTGGTTTCACTGTTTGTCATTAACCAGCATCCAAATGTAACTCATTTCAATTTTACATCTGTTGAGCTAAATTTAGTTTGGTAGTAGCTGAGAGTCATCCCCAACATATTCTGTGAGCGGTATCTCTCACAACACACAGTATCACATTAGATCACCCAGACTGGCTTTAATTCCCTCTTCTCATCATAAAGTGGTCTTAGCTTAAAACACAACACAAATGCACAACTATAAGTTCTGTAATCACTCAGAACACACAGAACTCCACTTTATGAACTTTGTGTGTTCTGGGTTTTGGTAATGGTTGGTGGTAAAATGAACTAGGGTTCAAATAAATCTTTATATCAACATGTCAAACCTTTAAAAGTTCATAGGCTGGGGAAAGACTAAACAAGAGTTTGCTCCAAACACATTGTTTTGTTTTTGTGGGTTTGTTTTTAGAATTACTCGCACATTGTTCCATAATTTATCTTTAATCTGGACGCATTTGGAGACTTCAGTCCTCGTCTTGGGGTTTAAGACACAGGTCCAAGTCTCAGGACCTGGGAAATCCCGCACCACAGCACCGCCCGCCTCCCGTCTGCGCGTCAGCACTGTGCGTAAAACCGTAACGCGCACTTTTTGGCAAGTTGTTGTGCCGGCGGCGCTATGACCCAGCTACCTCCTCGCCTTCAAACTCCTTTCTGCTCCAAGTCTGTAAAAACTGTGAGGCTGGAGGAGTGGAGGGGAGGAAGTCACCAAAGAGCTGGAGTCTAATTTGTTGCTGTTGCAAGGATCCGGGTTTCCTTCCAGCTCCTCGCGCAAATTCCAGGGATTTTCCTCCTCTTTTTTACGTGTTTGTTCCACCTCCTTCCCGTGAATGTAATCTGACTGTCTCCGCCGGAATCTGTCTGCTTCTCCACTTGGACTTCCAAAAAGTGTACATCGGCTGCTGGAAAACAGAATTTGATCATTCGTCTTCCGTTCCTTCGAACCAGAGAGCTCAGACTGGACTTATAGTTTATCCGTCCTGGACTAACCCAGTAGCCCTGTTACAGCCAGAGACGACCTCGTTTTTAAGGTGGGGGGAAGTTAAAAATAATAAATGCTCCTGATGCGTCGAGTGGATGGGCTCTGAGCGCGCAGCTCCTGCGTGAGGAGGACCCCGACTTTGGATTTTTACGCGCAGGAACCTTTCACCCACATCTCCCCGGCGTGTGTCTGTGATTTATTCTCCCAAGTTGAGCTGTGGATTTAGCCGCTGTGTGGTTTGTGTGACTGCGCTGTCGCCCTCAGAGCTGCGGCAAAGCTGAGACTCGTGCACAGTCACCACCACCACCACCATCATCATGCAGCGCTTCTTCTGGGAGAAAATCTGCAGCGGAATCGAGGGAAGTGGAGAGGCAGCATGACTTGCGCTCTGGATTTCTGTGACTCTACCTTCCACTCTCATATATAGCCCGAGATCTTAATGCTGTTCCATTTTGGTTTACAAATATGATGAAATGGCAGCCCCGGAAGAAGGTGAGTCTGTTTTTTTTATGATCTGCTGAAGTTGGAGCAGATCTAATTTCACTGTGCAGATCATAAGTTGGGAAGAGGAGGGTCGCTCCCAGATTGCTGCTCTCCCTGTTTGTTTTGCATCCTACATTTAGTAACTGACACTAATCATGCCCAGAGGCAGTTAATCTCTATAAAAGGCTGCTATTCTTTACTCACTTTTGATAATTTATTTCTGTAAGTGTTTTTGCTGGCCCTTTGAATGGGTTTTATAATGATTTGGAGTGATGTTGCTTATTAAATGGGCTTCTCTGTTCAATATTTTCCAAAATAAGCAGATCATACTGTAGGAAAATGATGTGTTTCATTATTAATGGCTTTGACCTCACATGATGTGTCCTGTATTTTTATTTAGCATCGGAAGAAAAACAGGCTGAGCTGTTCTAACCAAGACATCAGTGATTAATGCATCTGGGATGGAGCTGGTGGACTTTAAAACTAGTGTGTGAATGAGGAATAACGTTGTCAGATTCAAGAAACACACACTGCAGCTAAAAGTTTCACAAGGAACTGCAACATTTTTCCTCAAAACAGCTTTTCTAAAATGGCTCTCTGCTTCTTATTTCCATAATTTGACATACATTTTCTCTTTAAGTCTGTCTTGTTTTTACTGTCTCTTGTTTCTTGGTTTTCAAAGCCTTGGGGTATTACAGCATGGAAAATATTTGAAAATTCATCTGGGCTCTATAAAAAAAATTGGTAACTCAAGAGAGGTCTAGTTTTAGTGTGTTCTTTTTGTCACCACTAGGGGGCACCTATCTGACAAGAAACTGCCTGTGTTGAACAGGAGGAGGCTTTCCTGAGCCAGAACTAAAGGAGAAAATGAACAGATTAGTGACTTATTATTCTATTAACCAGTCTTTTTACCTTTCCTAATCACAGCAGATTTATCTTTTCCTCACGGCCCTGATACTATTATTTTTATTCTACTGCTAAAACATAATTTTGATTATGTTGCATGTGTCCCTGAAGACAGTTCATCATAAAAGCGCACCGTTGATCAATGGCAGAACAATCAGACCACTGCTGCTGCTCTTGGTAACAATCCTTCAGTGTGAGTTGACGACAGCGTGCTGGAATCTTCTGAATTAATGTGTCCATGTTGTTTTTTTAGGATCAGTCATTATTAATATGTATAATCTCATCCTGAAAGATGATCTAAAAGTTAATCATCAAAACTGAGCCTCTCCATGTTGAATTATCAGCAGAAATCTAGTGCTGTGAGCACGTCCTAATGATTTCCACAGCTGCGCTGTGTATCTGCCAGAGTCATCCACGAGACCCCCCTCTGAGGTCTGAAAGCCTTTCCTCGCTGCAGGAACTGGTTTCTAGCTCTGCTGCAGTGTGCTCAGGTTGAAAATATATTGAAAGTAGCACTGCTATCCCCATGCTTTGAGAAACGTCACTGAGCAGAGCGCATCGGGTCAGCTCTCATCAAGATGAGAAATGGTTTCATTTGATGTTGATTAATTAAATTGTGGGTGATGCTGGTTGCATATATATAAGCACACAGACTTAGAGCAGAAAACACAAAACTGCAGAAAAGTGTTCAATACTTTGAATTACTTGCTTTGCACATAGTGTTTGTATGTATTTTTGAGCATGTCTGACATTGTCCCTTCACCCTGATATCTGGTCCACTGCCAAGGATGTCCTCTGACTAAGACATTGCAAATAGCAGGAAGGAGACTAGAATAAATAAAACAGCTCTCAGTCCTTACAAGCAACTTTCTTTATGATGTCATGCTTGCTTTAGAAAATGCACACACGCTTTTCATCTCAAAAGATCTATGATTTTTCCCTGTTATTTCTTCTTTGTCAGCTTCCTGATCTGTCTCTGCACTACGTTCACAAACCATTCTGGATCAATAGGAGGTGTAGGAGAGTCATATTGATTAGTCTGAGTGTCCAGTCCACCTCCTCATAATGGATTACACAAAGGAGTCAAAATTCCAAATGTCGAATGCTGAGCTGACAAGAGCAATTCCCTTAGTGCTGCTGGCAGGAACCTTGTCTGTTCTGGAGAGGAGATTCTAACTAAAATGGGTTGTGGGACCAGCTGTCTGTTGACTTATTGTTCTGAACAGCTGAGGTGACCAATACAGACATTCAGACAATGTAAATATGTAGGAGAATTAGTTTTTTCTTTGTCGTGGACATGGGTTGTTAACATTAATTGATGCTCAGTATTACTTCAAAGAACTTCTGTTTTATCGTTCGAAGCCAAGTGCAACAGCATGTAGCGTCTCTCAGTTACATGTGCATCTATTACTGAGACTCAAAGAAACGAGTCTGGTGAGGTATCCAGCCGTGCCCGTCAAAGACCTTTCTGCTTGTGTTGCATTTATTAAAAAGAAAAGAATAAGAATCGAGAAAACATGGACAAAGGTAAGTCAGTGAGTCAGATTAGGATGCTTGTGTGAAAAATACAATAGTCAACAGCTTGTTATGAGCTCTAAGTTTTGACTGAAGTTTGTTTGAGCTGATTTGAAGATTATTTATAAATTTAATTTTCTTGTCTGTCGACAAATTTGGCTGAAAACCCTGAAATGGTGTTGCTTCTTTGCTGCTCAGATTCCCAACATGCACATGTTATAGGGTGTTATGGGGCCGAGATGGGTTAGAGGTAGGGCAGCCGACTTGGGACCAGAAAGTCATTGTTTGAAGGTTCAATTCCCACATGTCGTGGAGTCTCTGAGCAAGACACTTAATCCCCAATTGCTCCCCGTGCGCTTACATAGCTGCTCACTGCTCCACCTGGGTGTATGGGAATATACAACGATGATAGCCTCAGACTTCCCTTCCTTTATCTAGGGCAAAGTTGCTCACAAAGCTGTTAATGTACTGGGTTGTGTTGTGATACAAATTCAGACTCCATAGTGTTCACGTTACTCTTCATGCCAGTGGGACCATCAGAGGGAAGTTTATGTTTGCTTTGTGTGGTCATGCCAGATCATCCTGATGCATGCACAATAATCCAGGTAGAAAACTCTAAAAAAGTTCAATCTGGTCCTCTGGACATTCAAAAAACAAAGCAAAAAAAAAAAAAAAATGTAGAAACGTTTCGTCTTTCAAAAGACTTCCTCAGTCTGAGGTCAGAGTCAGAGTCAGAGTTTCTTTATTGTCATTCGCACCTCATGTGGTACATGTGGTGGAGCGAAATTATGTACACAGGGTCCCAGTTACATCCAAGAATAAAATGTATAAGAAAAACAGTAATGACATCTAAGATATGAACTAAGAAAAACATCAACTAAATATACACTAAGCACTCATAACATAAAACATTGAACATCAGCACAAACATGAACATGAGTCTGTGAGCAGATGTGCACGCATGAACACATCAACATTGAAACAGATCAGCAGCAACATGATATGGTTTTTCACAGTTCACTGAGGTGCTGTATTCAGCTCAATCTCTTAAATAGCACCTTCTCAGAGTGGATCAACCAGTTTGCTGCTGACAACCAAAACCAGCTGCTCACATGGTCAAGAAGGACCATCAGCCTAACAATGGATCATTAGCACACTGATGGCTGTTTACTATTCACAGGGGGTTGAGTGATACTAGCAATAACAGCATTGTAAGAGGGGGACTCTCAACAATCTCAGATTGTTTTGCGTGTTTCAAACATTTGATGCTAGATCACCTCACTTGAGCAGGACAGGATGGTCCGTCCAGGTTTCTTTGACCCAAAACTTTATTGGGAGCGCTCACTTTTATTATCTGGGTTTGCAATCTTCCATCTCTGACTGTGGGTATGTTTACATGGACATAAGTAACCGGATCAAATGGCCGGTCGGAATAAAAGTGTGTCATGTAAACGCTCCGTTCGGGTTATTTTTTGTGTATTCGGCACGATCCGTTATAATTTGTGATCAGAACGAAACGGGTGGTTTACGCCGATCCGAAACCCGATCGGTGCGCATGTAAACGCTTGATCTGTTCATTTTTATCTGATGGTAAAAAACTGACCTGACTGCGCATGTGTGACTTTGCCATTTCCGCCTGGCTAACGCTAATAATATTAGCATGTCAGGGAAGTAAAACTGGTCGGTGAGAGACACAACATTTCTACTAGAAACTTTGAAAGAGCTCAAAATGATCTGTATTACCTGTAGCTCAGTCAGGGAGTGCAGTAACGTCTCCACCATCATTAAAACCTGTCACGGGTCCATTTTGGGTGCTCAGGTTTGTTTACGTTCACCCGGAAGTAGAACTTCTTCTTCGGTGGTTTTTTTAAGGAGAGTTTACCACTCTGCGCATGTCAGTACTGCTGTTCAGAACAAAGCCCGCTGCATGTAAACGCTCATCATGAACAGATTGTGCCCATGTAAACAATACATTTGAATTATTCAAACAGAACACATTTCAATCTGGTCAGAGAATTCTGCGCATGTAAACATAGCTTGTGTTCAGTAACCCTAACCCCTTACTGATTTACTCATGGGGTTTGCATTTCTAGCCCCAGTACTTCATCAGTCCTTGTGACGTCTCATGGCTGGCAGCAGCACAACAGGTTTAGGAATGCTGTTACAGCAGGAGGAAAGGCATCTGAATGTGAAGAGCAGCGCCGGAAGAAACACATCTGAGGAGAGAAAAAAAAGCTGGTAAAGCTGTTACTTGTGGAGGTGGGGGTACAAATAGCTTAAGAGAAGCTAAAGAGAGCTGCAACAAAGATTGAGCTATGTCAGGCAACAAATGAGTGGGGCCTAGATGGCAGGAGTGTAGGAAATAAGGAGTTAAGTAGAGACAGCAGTGAAGAAATGGGATTGCTGTAAAACAGGAGACATCGATAGAATTAGAAATGTTTGGACATTGACTAAAAGAAAATGGAGACGTGTTGGAGGCTACAGAATAAGATGGTACAGGTGATAGAGATTTGGATTTTAGGAGTGAGATACCCTAGAGAGATGCAGCCAGGATAATTAATGATAGGAAGAGATAGCACCTGCTGTTC